ACATATAAAGTAAAACCACAAACATCTGCATAAAACTTTGAAGTTGAAATATTCTAGTTCCACATAATGTTCCCTTTCCACTAAGGTGCTCGATTGATAGAAATAAACAGGGTAGCAGCTCCCAAAGGAACGGCGTAACGCGACCATAGTTGATCTTTGAAATGATATATATATATATGTACTAAAATATGATATAATTAATCTGATCAGAAAACAAATTTTTTCTCCAAACAACTGAGGGCCACCCTATTATATATATATATAAGTACAATAATTATTTCATTACTCAAAAGAATAATAAAATTAATAATAAATATCAAACATTAACAATACGAAATTCCTTTAGATATAAATTAATATTTACTTAAAACAGTAATAAGCAATGCAGCACTAACACGCACTTCCACTCACATCGAATCCTTTAAACGCAATTACCCACCCGAACACATACCCTTTGCACAACTGCTCATAATTCTAATAATAAATTGAAAAGCAAACTTAGTATTGTGGCAAAAAAATTTACCCTCATTTTGCTGTTAACAATTTTACTGTCAATCGACATGTCAATCCGACGTTGCGTTCCATTTCAACACCACCAATGTCAATGCTGTTGCCAGAAAATATCTACTGCCATTATCACGGCCTACAACAACAACTGCAACAACTACAAAAACAACTACAAAAACCTTCCATGAACAGGCACAAAATCGAAATCATAGCACTACATTGTAGCACAGGATTCGGTTATTACTCACTAACAACTTTCAACTTCTCCCCTCGGTGCGGTACGACGCCATATCAATAAAAAAAATCAACAACAACAACAACAAGAACAAAAAGCAAAAGAAAATGAACTGCAAAAAGCAAAGCAATAAAATACTTAATCGAATAATTCTAAATGTCTAACCTCGAAAATCTAATCAAGTCCAGTTAAATAAATACACTAGCAGCAAAGTTGGTGAGTTGGTGAGTAAGTGGGTAGGTGGGTAGGTGAGTATAGTTGACGTCGATTAATATCTGGTGAATAGGTGGAATAAGCATTTTTGCATGGAAGTTTTGTTGGCATTTTTGCTTTTTAACACAAACACTCGAGTAAGTGACAAAACGCACCCGACGTAGAACTTCAGACTAGCGAATGTCATGCAAAGTGACACGCAGCAAACGTCAAGTAAAACGTCACACACGAACGCAAAGCGCTGCTTCAGTAACAGGCGCACAACAAATCGAGAATGCAACCGGCCAGCCAGCCAGCAAATAGCAAACACTCGCTCCTAAAGCATGAAAAGCAAGCATGAGCACAGCAGAACAGCAAAGAGCAAACAGACTGGAAAAGTCAATATGCTTGCAAATACCATTAAAAAAATATATCCGCGCACAAATAGACACCGACAGATACTGATTCATAGATACGCACAAGTGTACAGATGCACAAGTACTTGATTTCATATACACGATTTACTTTGCATTTGCGTTTTGCGTTTTGGGTTTTGCGCCGCAAAACTCATAACAGCAAGAAAGATTCTTTCGGAGTTGTGGAATTTTGGCGCTCTGCTTTCGTATTGAGCATTCAATTTGCGCTTTTGCGCCTTTGCGCTTTAGCGGAATGTCGCTGTGCTCCTTTTGCTGTGCACTTGTGCTTTCGATTTGTCATTCTACAGGATCGGCAGTACAAATTTATATCAAATTAATGCGCTTCTTACGAGCTCTCAACTAACTGCCCTGCAGTTTTACTTATGCAAATCCGGCAATTTTAATTATACACCACGGAATTGTCTTCACCATGATTTGTTAAATGATTTCAAATTAAATCTTAAGATGAATATTAATATGTCGTGTGTAGCTGTAGGTGTTTCATCTTGAAAGATAATTAGTAATCTGAAAATCATTAATTTCTATAGAGTAAAACTTTTGCTGATTAAAATATTACTACTTAACAGTTAAATACATTTTTAAAACTAATAAATATATTTATATATTAAAGACAGATTAATAAATAATATATGTTAAATATAATCATATTTGCATAGTCAGTTATGATGAGAAATATTAGAAGATTTCGAAAATCAGAGCTGATTAATACAAAGATATTCATTATATGTACTACTCACAACATTCCGGATGGTATAAATCTCTCCAAAAATCGGGCATTTTAGTTCTTTTACTACATATTAATATGTTGGGGACACAATTCCTACAACGGACGGTTAAATGGTACTTAAAGCGCCTGCTCTTCTTCACATATATTAATATGTCAGGCACACCATTCATATAACGGATGGTTTGGCGGTGAATTAAGGCTACTCACCTACTCAACACAAAATAAAAAAATTAAAAATACAACAAGTGCTTTATTACATACTGGAAACACCAAATAGTTGAAATTCATTTATATATATTATTTTTTTTGCGGTAGGTAGAAAGCCAGAAAGCCACAGTGTGAGGACTTGCGCCCCTCAAACCACGATTTTAGAACAGATATATGGTAGATTACAACAATAGAGCTCGAAGGTGCAGCGGTAGAAACCCCATTCCAGCCTTGAAAGACAGAAAGGAGAGCAGTTAGTTATTAGAAAGCTATTATCAAATTATCAAGACCAGAAAAACATAGTCGAAGGAAACATAGGTAGGAAAGTGCTTATAGGTTAAGTAAGTATTGTAGGTTC